CGCGCACACACAGCCCGCGCCTTCGTGACATCCATCTGACCGGGGGCGAAAAAAAAATGGCCCACCACCCAACAGTTCTTCAAGCTCGCCCTTTCCATCATCGGGTTCATCTTCAGCATCCTCTGGCTGCTGCATCTGGCGTTGTACTTCGCGCCGGTTACCTTCGGCATGAAGCCCGTATCGGCCTTCATGAATGCCGTCTTTGCCGGGCTCTCCAAGGTTCCCTTCCTGGGCCCGGCCTTCTACGCCATCTTCGCCTTGCATCTGCTGCTGTGCCTGGCCCATGGGTCGGTTCGGCTGGGCCGGCTGTCATCGATCCTCGGCGCGGTGCATTCCATTCGCCCCGGGCGGACGCTGACCTCGGCGCTGCTGTTCCACTCGTGGCTCCTGGTGGCCGGGGCCCAGGCGGTCTCGCATGCCGGGGCGCGGGTGTTCGGGTCCTACGCGCGGGACACCGCCTCCGGGCGCATTGCCAACACCCAGCTGGCCAACCTCTCGGGCGGCGTGGGCCATGGGTTCGATGCGCTCATCTGCCTGATGGGCGTCATGGCCGTGGTGACTGCCCTGCTTGCGTGCATCCTCCCGGCTCGCAAGCGCAAGAAGAAGGTCAAGCTTGTGAGCGAGAAGGAGCGCGCCCGCAACCGCCAGAAGGAGAACAACTATGAGATGCGCCAGCGCGCGGGCAAGTGACCATAACCTGCTGCTGTCTACCCACGCCTGCACATGCGTCCATGTGCGCGTGTGCGCCTGCCCATGATGCATCCACCCTGCCCCCACGTTGCAGGCTACCCCACCAGCTGCAATCGCTTCCTATTTGTCCTTGTGATCCCCTCGGGGCTTTCTCTCTTCCTCTGCCACGTCTACTGCCCTGCGGCGCGCGATGCCCGCCCGTGGCGTGTTGCCTCTTCCATCTGTCTTGCCCGGGACCCACCCCCTTCGAGGAGGGGCGCTGGTCACCTCTTCATGTGCGGCTCGACGGGCCTCCTCCCTCTCCCTCCCTCCCCCTCCCTCTCTCCCTCCCTCTCTTCATACACGCATAACCACACACGCTCAACAATACACCCTCCCTGTATCTTGCACGAGGATGCGCTCTCGTCGCGTGTGCGTGCGTTGCACGCGCGCCCCAACGGGGGGGGCGGGGGCGGGGGCGGGGGCTGTGGCTGCCTTCCTGCCGTCCCGCCGCCCCATGCCCTGCCTCGGCCAAGAGAACCAAGGTGCCAGCGAATGCGGAGCATCCTGGAATACGCGAGCATATGTTGATCTTTTCCGACCACCCCCATAAGTCCGAATGGTGTAGTCGGTTATCACATTCGCCTCACACGCGAAAGGTCCCCAGTTCGAACCTGGGTTCGGACACTTTCTTTTGATTTTTGCCCCGCCCCGCCAGGGGGGTGGCCGTTGCATTGTTTTTTGTTTTTTCTTCGACTTCGCATCGCTGGTGAAGCCATATCTTTCCCCTTTGTCTGAGGGAGGAAAATGCACAGATGCCGGGGTCACGATTTAGCTATATTGTGTGCAGGAAGGGGGGGTAGAGGTGGGCGGGAGAGAGAGAGAGAGAGAGAGAGAAAAAGAGGCAGAGAAACGAGGGAGACTGCCCGGGGCTCCGATCAAACGCAATGGCCGCCGTTGGGAGGCAGGAGGCCAGGGCCTCACTCGCCACGCCAGTCGTTCCAGTTGAAACGCAAGTTGGGCAGGAGACGCGCCCGCTCGTCGAACCGCTTGACCGGGTTGTCTGACAGGTCCACCAGTCGCAGGCGGAATAGGTCGGCCAGCATGTCCGGGACAATGCAAATCTTGTTGGAGCTGAGAGACGGCAAGAGGGCAGGTGGTGAGACGCCAGGCAAACAGGGGAGCAATGCATGTGTATGTGCTCTGAGAGGGCGAGAGAGAGCCAGGGTGGAGGGCGACGCAGCGGGAATGGCGGCACACGAGCGTGGCGCGCACCTGACGTTCAGCTCCCGGAGATTGACCAAACGCGACAGGTTCTCCAGGACCACCTCCTGCACGGTGGAGCGCAACAGCGCCGGTCGCCGAGGCGGTGTGAGGGCAGATGGGGGGGGGGGAGGGGGGGCTGTTAAGTCGGTGTGTTTGCCGGGCACGGGCGCGCATGCTCCGCCTGGGGGCGAGGTGAGGAGGAAGAGGCAGGAGAAGGCCCGCCAGATTGGGCGCACGTCTAACGACTCGAGGATGCCCTCGCTCAGGTCCAGGGTCTCCACATAACGCATCTGCCCGATGACCGGCGGCAGGGTGACGAATTTGTTCTTGTTCAGCTCGAGGACGCGGATCTGCGCAGAGTGCACGCATAAATGCATGTATGTGCGCACGCGTGCGCACGCGCGCGCGAGGGGATGGCGCAGGAGGGAAGGTGAGTGACATGCCCTCGGCAAGGGGAGATGCCCCCCGTAACACGCGCACCGGCAGGTCTGAGAGCGTCGACGGCAGGTCGGTCAGCAGGTTACCATGCACACGGAGGACCTTCAGTGAGGATAGTGCCCCAATGGCCTCGGGGATCTCCTGGATTTGGTTTGAAGAGAGATCCAGCTCAACGATGTTGTTCAGGGAAAAGATGCACGAGGGAATGCGCGTCAGCTGGTTGAAGGACACTTTCAGATCCATCAGACAGACAGCCAAGCTGGACAGATTCCGCGGCAGGTCCTTGAGGGCGTTGCCTATCGGGGGAGGGAGAGAGAGAGAGGGCGCGTTAGGCTGGGATTTGGGTCGCGCACAGGGCCAAGGCCAGGTGAGGACAAGCGGGGCCGAGGTCGGCCACCGGCACGCACCGTCCAGGTGCAGTACGCGCAAGCGCAGCATTTTTCCGATGTCATTGTCAATCGTGGTGATCTGATTCCCCGCAAGGACCAGCTTCTCCAGCTGATCCAGACGGTAGATGGCTGTCGGGAGCGTCTTCAGATCGCTGTAGCTGCAGGCGAGGCGAGGGGCCGATGGAGCGGGAGGGCGGGCAAATGGACAGGTGAGCAACCCCGCATGGGGAGGGCCGGCAAGAAAAGCACCCACTGGCCGGCCACGAGGTACCTGAGATCAAGCTCCCCAGTGATGGCGGCCCGCTTGATGGCAGACGAATGTGCGTTACCCATTTGGCCAAACTACATGCGAGGAGGCAAAAGTGACAGAGGGAGGGAGAGGAGGAGGATAGAAGGGGGCAAGGAGGTAGGGAGGGAAAAGGAGCTGAGCCGGGCTGGGGAACATGTTGGAGTCGGATGGTGGAGGCGCCAGCGTTTTTCAGGGCTGGCCCTTTTGAGATCTGGCTCGGGACCTGGGGCTCGCGGGCGATCGGCGCCGGCCCGTCCGCCTCCGGCCTGGCCGGGGCGCGAGAAGGCCGATCCCTCGGGCCGGCTGGGAAAATAATGACAACAACGCCAACACCGGTAGCAGCAGCGGCGGCGGCGGCGGCGGCAGCGGCGGTGGCGGCGGCGGCGGCAGGGCCGTGTGACGGAAGAGCCGCCAGCCGAGGGCCAGAACATGCGGGGAGGCCGGCCGCGGTTCTGAGCCTGCCCCACGCGAGCGCACAGTCATCCGGCACTGGGCCAACGGCCAGCGACGAGCCTTTTTTTTTACCCCTTGATGAGGAAGGCCCATTTTCGCGTGGGGGAGGCGTGAAGATCGCGCATGCCCCCCCCCCCCCCCCCCCCCCCCCCCCCCCCCCCCCCCCCCCCCCCCCCCCCCCCCCCCCAGAGCCCCCAGCCGCTCTGTCCGACCCGGACCCCGGGGCCCGGCAGCGACGCGCGGCAGGCAACAGGCCTTTGGTACCAGCGCCCAGGGTCCCGCGTGCTCCGTGGGTACCTCGCGCCCGGGCAGGGTTCTGTGCCGGCTACGCCGCGGGACGCCCCGCCCCTGCCCGTGTCCCCCCCCCCCCCGCCCCCTTCCCATCAGGGAGACTCCCCAAGAGTAGGGGGCTCCCTCGGGGAAGGGGGCTGGCTGCAGCCGATCGCAACGGCCCCCCTCCCCCCCAGGTCTGGGCCACGAGAGGTTGCTTGTCTGAGAAAGAGTCGCCATTCGACACCATAAAAGGCCTCATTTTCCAGCCCCGTCGGTGCGAGCCCTGCACAGGCCCCGCCCCCGCCCCTCCCCGGGCGCGAAGCGCCAGCAGGGAACAGCCCCCGGAGGACCGGTGGGCTGGCACCACCGCACACCACGCGCGTTAGCCGGGACCGCAAACGAGGCGCTATTTGCGGCGGTCGGGCGAACCAACGGCACTTTCGGTAAATGGTGTTTTCCCATCGTCATATTGGCACTCGGGTCACATGCGCCCCTGTGCATGCAGGCCGGCGGATGGTCGTCCCCGCCCCCCCCCCCCCCCCGTGCCCCGGGGCCGCTGTTGTGCCTCGCCGCATGCGCCCACACACTTGGCACATACGGCGGCCGAGCTGGGAAGAATGCGCGGAACACCACGCCGCGGGCGGTCGACAAAAGCGCATGCACCCGGGCCCGGCCTCCCCCGGCGCGCCCGCCTGCCTCCCCGCCCCCCTGTCCAGGACTTGCGAAAGCCTCTCTGGCCAGGCGCGAATGCCAGGGTACACGCAAGCGAGCCCGCGATCAGCCCCCAGCCGAGCCCACCTTTCTGGCCCCCGCGCCGCCGCCCCCCTCCTCGCCGGCCTGGCTCTGGTACTCACTCCTCGGTTGAGCGCGCCCGGCTCCCCCCCCCCCCCTGGAACAGTGTGGGCCCCCGATCCGCCTGGCTGCGCATCGGAGCCACAAAATGAGGTCAAGCCAAAAGAAGGGGCGCGATGGCAGAAAGACAAAAAGCGGGAACGAGGCACCGGCCGAAACGAGATACATGGGGGGATTGTATAGTAAAGGGCCGAATCTAATCACAAGTGCATGGGCGGGAAAAGGGAGGGGAGAGGGGAAGGAAAAGGGGGGTGGTTCGAGGAGAGGCACAGAAGGGGAAATATGTGAACGTGCGCGGCGCATCGGCGGGGGAGGGGGAGGGACCGCACGTGCACGGACGCGCGGTGACAATGGCGAAGGGGAAGGGGGAGGAGGGAGGTACAAGAACGAGTGGCGAGGGGGAGGGGAGAACGCCTGTCTCTCTGGTCGGGGGTGAGGGCGGGGGGAGTGTGGGAGGAAGGAAAGAGGGGAGGTGGACGGAAGGGAAGGGGGGAAGGGTGGTGCGTCGGTCTCCCCCCGGCGCTGTCTCAGTGCCTCTCTCCAGCTGGCGCAGAGGCAGAGGGAGAGGAGGAGCAGAGAGTGATATAGCAGGGCCCCACACACACCCACACGCGGCCGCCGTGTGTGTGTGTGTGAGTGAATGAATGCGCGCCACCTGCGCGCATACGCACACACACACACACACACACACGCACGCACGCACATGCACACATCCAAATGTGCAGTGGGGGGGGGAAGGTGGAGGGGATGCAGGGAGGGGGGGGGGGCGGCGGAGGGAGGAGAGGACGACCCTTGCATTGGCGCGCACGCAGGCGCCAGAGTGCACAGGGGAGGAAGGGGGGGAGACAACAGGCGGGATACCCTCCCACACATCTCGACCACTCGTGTGAAGGGGCGGAAGAGAGGAGTCGCAGTGGGGGAGAGGAGGACTTTCTCCTGGCGATGGGACAGTGAGGGGGAGAGGGGGCCACACGGGCGGAGAGAGGTGACCCCCTGTGCCCGGTGCACCGCATGGCGCACGTGCAGGCGTTCAGGCGGGTACGTGTGTGTGTGTGTGTGTACGTGCGTGCGTGCGGAGCGGCGCACATATGGTGTGCACACGCTTCCCTCGACCCCGTCAGCCATTTGACACACGCATCCACACGTGGGCACACCCCATCATCATATCACCAACATCATCATCACCGGGGGAAAATGTGCCGCTGTTACTCATCAGTTGCCACCAGCAGGCGGAGCACCGGCGCCGGTGCTGCTGCCGCGGCCGGAAGTCCAGGACGAGGTGCCACTGCCGCTGTTGCCGGAGCGCGAAGAGCCGCCGGAACGCGAGGAGCCGCCAGAGCGCGAAGAGCCACCGGAGGGGAAGTTCCGGCCGCCGCCGCTGCTGGAGCCGCTGCCACCGCCGGAGGAAGACGAGGAGGAAGCCTGGCGGCCGGAGGAGCCGCTGCCGTAGGGGTGCGCAGCCGCGGCCGAGGAGGCAGTGGCCGGATCAGAGGAGGAGGGGTTCGACGAGGAGCGGTGGCCGCCGGAGCCGCCGGAGCGATGGCCGCCGGAGCCGGAGGTGCGGCGCGGGCCACCGGAGCCCGTGGAGGAAGAGAGCGAGGCACCGCCGGAGGACCCGGCACCGCCATGGCCGCCGGAGTTGGACATCGGGCCGAGAGCAGGCGACCCGGAGGCCGAGCCCGGGGCGGAAGAGCCACCGGCGCCGGAGCCGGAGCCCGTCGTCCGGCGAGGCCGGGTGCCACCACTGGAGGAGCTACCACGCGAAGAGCGCGAGGCCGAGCGATTGGAGATGGCGCTGAAGGAGGAATACTCGAAGTTTTTCCCGGTGAACCACTGGGGGAAGGACTGAAGGATGGGCGTGGAGGCGGCCGAGTCGGAGATCCAGATGTCGCACCGGGGGCGGTTCCCCAGGCGGAAGACCAGGCCGTTGATCTGGTTCTTGATCGAGTCGTCCTTGCCCGCAAGGAGACTCTCGGTCAGCACGGCCAGGATCATCTCGAACCACTTGGCGTCCGGCAGGTTGTCCGACACGCGGAAGCGACCGCCATTGCAGAAGGCCGAGTCCTCCCAGGCGGGCTTGTACCCGTCGCGGAAGATGTAGTAAGTAAAGGAGTCGGTCGAGCTGGCGAACGACGAGGGGGTGTGGATGTTGTTGAAGATCGACCAGAAGTCCTCGATCTGCGGGGAGGGAAGGGGGTGATGGGCCATGGGGAGGGGGCGCGCGCGGGTGCGTGTCAGAGGGAGGGAGAGAGGGCGCGCGCGGGTGCCAGGGTGGCGGGCGGGCGAGCGAGGGCGGGCGGGCCACAGAGAGAGAGGTGCGGCTGCCAGGGAGGGGGATGGCGCGTGTGGGGGAGGAGAGGGATGGGAAGCGCCCGGGCGAGATGGGCAGGGCGCCGGGCGTGCGCGTGCAGGGGTGTAGGAGGAGAGGTAGAGAGAGAGAGAGAGAGGGGGGAGGCGCACGGTCGTGATGTTGCCACAGTCGATGATGGAATCGGTCCAGGTATCGGCGCTGGGGGCGGCCGGGGCGGCGCCGGCACCGGCGGCGGCGGCGGCCGGCGGGGGGGTGGCGGCCGGCTCCGGGCGGGCGTTGCTGTCCTGGACAGAGAAGACCCAGGTGGAGGGGAAGGTGTACGAGCTCTGTCGGGGGGGGGAGAGAGAGAAGGGAGGGACAGGAAGGCCGGTGGGGGGGGCAGAAGAAGGAGACGGGTCAGGAGAGAAAGCCGGACGAGGACGAGGGGAGACAGAGATAGAGAGAAAGAAGGAGGGGGGGAGTTGCGCACGGAGGACATGATGGCTATTGACTACTGGAAGAAGCGCTGGAAGCTACAGGGCCTTGAGGAGTTTCCTTGGGGATGTGCAAGAAGGAAAGAGCTAAGGGAAGCACGACATCATGCGAGAGGGCAGGCAGGTTAGAGGAGGCGAGTGGCAGGAGGCCGGAAGCGCGGGGCCGGAAGCGCGGGGCCGGGCGATGGCGGGGGCTGGGCGGGGGAGGGGGTGCGGGGAAACATACAGGTGCGGGGAGCGACTGCCGGAATTCACGCGACGAAAGGCGGGAAACAGCAAGTGCAACGTGCGGGGGGGGGGGGAGGGGGGAGTTTGGGCGAGGAGGGGGGAGCTCAATATCCAAGGAAGATAGAGAGACAGCCAGGGGGAGGGGGGGAGGGGGAGGATGTAGCTTTCAGGAACTCCAGGCCGCGGGGCAGGGGGGACCTGGCGCGGGGCGTCGGAAGGCGGCAGGAAAGACGGGGGGCGGCGAGACCTCCTCTCTTTGTGATGCTCTCTCCGGGGGGGGACGAGGCGACGTATGGGGGGAGGAACGAAAAAAGGACCGATAGGGCAGAAGAGGGGGAGGGGGAGAGACAAGTGGAAAGGACGTGGGGCAGGGGGGGGGTAAGGGAGGAAAGGAGGAGGAGGATAGGTGCTCACGACCAGGTTGATGCCCGGGCTTCGGGGACCAGGAGGCTGGGGGGCGTGCTGAAGAAATTCAGCCCTCTCGCGCACGGGGAGGGCCCAATGTGTCTGTGCGCCGGGGGCGCAAAGCGCCCAGGGGGGGGAGACGCCGCGTTCGGGACGAGAGCAGCGGGGCACACCACTCTCAGGTGCCGCATCCCTGGACAACGAGCTGGTGCATGGCTCACAGGAACACCCCCCTCCCGACCTCACTACCTCAGTTCTGTTGCCCGGTCGGGGGGGGGGGGGGGGGCAAGGGGGGAGGCAGGGGCGAGGCGGGGGGGGGGGGCTGGGCGGACGAAGCGCCAGGGCCGGGGGGGGGGGGGGGGCGGTCGGGCAGCACCGGCCGCTAGCCGGGCGGGGCCGCCCGTGGGCAGGACGCCGCGCACACGTGGGCAGGGTGAGGCACGCATCGGGGGGGGGGGGGGGGCAAGGGGAGCGACGCCACCTGCTGGGCCAGTGGGCCATGAGCCGGTACGCGAATGTGCCGGCCCCGCGCTGCGCCCTTCGCCCGTTGTGCCCCGCCGCCCCGCTGGCGTGGCCGGGGTAGCAGCCAGTGGACGGCAGCACCAGCCCCAACTGGCCGCTGCGGGGGGGGCTGGCACCGGGCAGCCTTCTGGGATATGAGCCCCCGGCCGGCGCGCGTGCCTCGCTTAAGTACAGCTGGGCTGGCAGTGGTTGGCGAACTCCGGCGGGGGGGGGGGGGGGGCCGGGCCCTGCTGAAGGCCGGGTGGACCGCATGCGCCCCGCCAGGCAGCCGAGAAAAGCGGCAGGGCGAAGGCCTCCGCGAGCCGCCAGCCGGACGAGGACCAATGGGGATCTAGTCCCGGAGAACCTGCCCGGCGCGCTTTTCCATTGGCTGGGTGTCCGCCCCGCCCTCCGCCCGCCCCCCTTCTGGGCCGGGAGTTCGCGCGGGCAGCCCCAGAGCAAGGGGGGTCCGGAGTGGGCACCCCGGGGGAACACATACAGCCCCGGCCCGCACAGTTTGCCCCGGCCCGCGGCTGCTACGGCGACGCAAGTTATCGGATCGGTCCCCCGCTTGACTGGGGGGGGGGGGGGGGAAGGCCGCGCGGCCACGAGCCCTTGGTTGCCTGCCGCCCCTGCGCAGGAATGATACGCGAGCGATTCAGCCCTCCCCGCTCCCCCCCCCCCGAGGCGGAGGGACAGCTGAAGAAACAGCGCCTGGCCTGCCCCCTCCGAGAATATGTTCGGAGCATTATTTATTCCGCACTTTAAGAGCCCACACGGATGGCCTCGCAGGCACTCACGGGCGCGCACTCACCCAAGTCCACCGACAAACAGTTACCCTTGCCTACACTTCCCCTCCCCCCTCCGGGCTACGGAGAAAGAGTTCGCTCGGTCAAGAATTCCACACGGCCCCTCTTTCTTCCTGGGCCCTGGCGCGGGGGGGGGGGGGGGGGGGGGGGGCCGGGGACAACCACATGGGGGCCATCTCGAGAGCCCCGCCACCCCCGGGCCCGGGCCGCCCCCGCAGGGAGGAGCGCCCTTTTTCCCCCCCATTGTCGTCGACGCGGTCCGCTGGCCGGAGGAGCATCTCGGCGAAAGAAAAAAAGCGTGTCTTGCGTGTCCGGGCGTGCTTTTGCAGGCCGCTTGGGCTGGCGGCTCGCGCCGTCCCGGCGGAAAGGGGAGGGTGTTCATGAAAGACCCCAATGGACACCTCCTAAAGCCCTGGCAGAGTCCGAGTTAGTATAAACCCCAAGCATCAGAACCGGCGGGTCGGATCGACTGGCAGCCCGCGCCGCGCAGAGTTCCGGCCGCTGTCTAACCCAGTGCCGATTATCGCGCCAGGCCGTTGTCCTATTCGCCAGCCGAAGGGCCCCAAAATGCGCAGCCCCCCCCCCGCCCCGCCCCCGCCCCGCGCCCCCCCTCCGGCCATGCGCAGCTTTGTTGGCGGCAACGGTCACCATCCTGGACATGCAGAACTGCTCTTGGGCGCGCAGGAAGGCTGTATTTCGCCCTGGTCTTTCCCGGGGGGAGAGAGAGAGAGTGGGGGAGGAGGGGCAACACACGCGCGGCGTGCGCGAGCGTGTGTTGCCCCTCCTCCCCCGGGCGTGTCTATGTGGGTGTGTACTTTGCAGTGCGGCCTCTCCTGGTCCCCACCCGAGGGGGTGTTACCCCCTCCCGTGCTCGGGTCGCCGGGGGGGGGGGGGGAAGGTCACTGCGGAGAGAGCGAGAGCCTCATGGCAAGGTGCCAGTCCGCATGCTCCGGCATCTGGGTCACCGGGATATTGCGCTGGCAGTCCGGGCATACCTGCCACAGGGACTGCGCCGGCCGGGGGGAGGGGCTAGCGGCTGCCGGCGGGAACTCCCCCGGGTTTCGGGGAGGCGGCGTGCCAGGCGCCGAGGGCGGCGGTGGCGACACCGGCGGCGGAATGTCCGCGAGGCGGGCACGTTTGTTGGGCGACGCCGGGGGCGGGCCCCCGCCGGGGGTGGCATCCAGCGCTGGCGCCTGATCGGCCGCCAGCCGGGCGGCCCCTTGCTGGTCGTCGGCCGCCTTGAAGTAGCTGAGGATCGAGCCCCGAGGCTTGAACACATGTGTCAGGTCCACCAAATGCGGCCGCGGCCGGTGAACGTCCTCATACGAGGCGAAGCGTGTGGATAGTGGGGCTGGCGTCAGGTCGACTGGCGCCGGTTTGGCGGGCCCCGGCAGGGCGGCAAAGAGTGAGGCCATCGATGAGGCCGGAGACGCCGAGGGCGATGCCCTGCTGCCGCTGCCGCTGCCGCTGCCGCCGAGGCGGAGGGCTCCTCGCCGGCCCGGGGAGGCCACCAGACTGCGCCTGGCCGGGGATCGGCTCCCGGGCGTCTCGGCCAGCGAGACCCCGGGGCGCCTGCTCCCCGCCTGGCGTGGTGTCGAGGCGCCCGGCGCCACCGGGGGAAGCGACGACGGCGGCGTCCCCGGCCCCGGGACCGAGTACAAGTCCAACGCCGAGGATGTGCCCTCGGCGCCGGGCCTGGTGTAGAATTGCTGGAGGGTTGTCTGCCCGGGAGCAGGCGCCACGGCCGCGGGGTGGGATGATGGCGGGGAGTCGGCTGCCATGGCGGCCATGCTGCGAGGTGTTGCCGGGGCGGCATTGACATCCAGGAAGAAGCTGCTGTCCTCCGGCAGCTCGTCCACCGGCACGGCGCACAGGAGCACCGCCGGCGACTCGGACAAGGCCGTTAGCGGAGCGAAGTTGGTCACTCCAAGAGCCATGAAGGTGCAGGGGAAGAGCTTTTTGAACTGCCGAAGGGGGGGGGGATGGAGTTGCAGGGTGGTGGATCATCGGAGAGATAGATGGAGATAGACAGGCACAGGGAGGGCAAAGGAAGGGGAGGATGAGAGGGAGGGGGGAGGGAGAGGGGAAGGAGAGAAGAAGGAGAAGGAGAGAGGAGGGAGAGAGGTAGAAGGGAGAGAGGTAGAAGGGAGAGAGGTAGAAGGGAAAATAGATGTCAGTCATGCAGAGGGTGCGCGAGGCATACGCCAGGTCGGTCGAAAGAGACAGGGAAGAAAAGACCAGGGGGGTAGAGGGGCGGTTTGGTGGCGAACCTTGTGGAAGAGCTCCTGCGTTAGCCGCCGGACGATCGGCTCGATAATCAGGAAGAGCTCGCGGTTGAGCTGAACCGAGGTGAGCGACAAATGCTCCTCCGGGAGCTTCTCCTCCCCAGCCGCCTTCTCGGCATCCGAGCTGTGCTTTGCACCCAGCAGCAGGCGCAGCATCGACATCGGCGCATGAGGGAAGGGGACCGACCGACGAAAAAGAGGCCCAACACCCTCAAGAGCAAAGGCCACCTGGAGACTCTGGTCAGAGGAGGGGGTCCCGCTTGTCGCGAAGAGGCGAGGACACCGACAAGCAGGCACACATGCAGACAGAGGGGCGGGAGACACGCACCGAAAAGGCCCGTGGCCAGCGGGTATGCTCGCGCAGCTCGACGCATATCCGCCGTGAAAGGTCACTTGACAACAGACGCTGCCATCGGTCCTGCACGATGGCATTCAGGATGGGCGGGCGCAAATGACGCGAGGCTGTCAGGGAGGAAAGCAGCCTCTTGGACCTGACTGCCAAGCAGAGGCAGCAGGGGCGGATGGTTAGACTGGGCATGCCCCAGGCGGATGGGGCCCGCCCGAGCCCGGTGGGCCATTTCATGGGTTTCCCTTTGGATGTGCCTTTTCCCTTCTCCTCCCCCCCCCCCTCTCTCTCTGTCACACACACACACACACACACACAGGCAGGCCCCATGGACGCAAGTACGCACCAACCTCTGTGCACCGGCCCCGAAGAAGAGCCCACAGCCAAGACACCCGGTCCTGGATGGCTGCCTCGCCCATGCCCGGGCCACCGCCGGTGGATGCATTCCCCTTCCGGTCGACCTCATGACCACCAGGGCCCTCATCATCGGACTCCCCACCGCCATGCATCCGATCGTCGCTGGCAACCAGAGCCGCCCGAAGATCCGCCCGACTGAGGGCCCACGCATCGGAGGCCACCCGCACGCCGAACAGCGCTTGCAGGGCCATGCCCAGCTTCCCGCCAAGCGCTCGGATGGACTTGAGCTCCGATCGCCGGAGGACATACTGCACTGCCGATTGCCCGGGGACATCGGGCCCCGGGGTTTCCGGATCCACCTCGCCGAGCTCTGCCAGGTGGCCATCTGCAGGCTGGGCGCCGCCACTGCCCGGGCTGGCCCGGACAACCGACTGGCCGTCCGGCTTCCGCCAAGAGGTGGCCAACTTGGCCAGCAGCTTGTTGTGCGCCACGCCGGTGGAGGCGGTCAGGCCGAGCTCCGAGCGGACGGCCGCGCGGATCTCCTGCCCAAGCAGGGCCGCCCGGTGGAGGAGCACGTCCTCCAGCGCCACCAGGGATGGACCTGCATCGGGGGCGGCGCCCGGGACGGCTTGAGGCAGGCCGATGCACTCGCCGACCAGTGTCCAGTCCACCGGGAGCCGAGCCCCGGAGTAGGGCGTCGATGATTGCATGGCCGCGATGAAGGGCGCGCGACCGAGCTGATCAATGGCCTCAACCAGGATCCGGTGCGTGACATCCAAGCACGCCTCGTCAATGCTGCACTTCTCTTTGCCGCCCGAAAGATCATCCATGTCAGACCAACCCAATGTGCTTGACCTGCCGACGCAGAGAGAAGGAGAGAGAGAGAGAGAGAGATAAAAATACACACACACACACACACGGGCATGGGCACGCAAAAGATGGGAGGGCCGACCCTTGTGCGCCACGTACCAACAACGTCACCAAAGCGATTGAGCAGATTGATCAGCCGCCGGCCCTCGGCCCGGTAGTGCTCCAGGTGCACTCGGCACTGGTACCGGTTGGCGGAGATCTCCTCCTCGGCTAGGCGCTCGAGAAGGGGCGCATCTGCCGGGGTATATGGCTGGGCGCGGCCGGCCGCCACATCGGCCGCATGCCGGCGCTGGGTGTCTCGAGATGGCCCGACCCCGGCCACCAGCGTGGCATACGGCGACCCCGGCGGGCCGGGCTCGGTCACCGGGTCCGACGGGAAGAAGGCCGTGTCGCAGTCGGTGCAGTCGGCCCGGCAGCGCCCGGCGGCATTGGCATCTGACGATTGGAAGGGGCTGGTGTTGCTGCGCCACAGGGGTGCATGGGGCAGGGCAATTCCCGGGCACAGGCGTTTGGCTTCCTGGGCCGTGGTACTGCGCGTGATGCCGAAGGCTCGTGCCGCGTAGTTCGATGCCAGCAGTCCGTGGTACTGGCGCACGGCTGGTTCCGGTGTCAGAGGTGGGCGGACACGCCCCGCCCGTCGTCTGCAGGGGGGGAGGCCGAGGAGGCAGGGACAAAAGGGGCCAGCTCCCGGATGAAGGGGAGAGGCAGGGGGGGAAAAAAAAAGAGACACGGAGGGGGAGAGCGACGGCCGCAGCAGAGGCCCACGCACCGAGCGGCACATCCGGCGAGAGGTTCAGTCGCTTGGCCTCAATTTGCTGCGAAGGGGGCACTTGGTGTGAGGGCGAGGCGCACGGCGCCGGGGCAGAGCTGAGGCAGCGCGGCGCAAACGTACGGCAAAGTAGCAGTCCATGTCCAGGTGTATGACCAGTCGAAAGCGGCTGAACCGAGGAGAGGCCAGGACCTGCCGTGCCCAGGCGGCATTGCCACCACGGTCAGCCCCCTCCCCGGCCGGCGGCGGCGGCGGCGGCGGCGGCGGCGGCCGGGAAGGTAGCGCCCCGCCGAGGGGGGGCGGCGTGTCGGGCATCATCGAAGGAAGCGAAAGGGGAGCAACGAGGAGGGCATGTGGGAGGTGTGGCAAAGCTAGGAGGGGGAGGGGGGGGGGGAGGGGGCAGGGTGTCGGCACTGGGGTTCCACACAAGCCGAGACGCATGCTTGAATGACGGCCGGCGCATGCGACGCCCGGTGCGAGGGCCGCCGGCCGCCGGCCGCCGGCCGCCGGCGGGGATGGGATCGATCTTAGTCCGATCGCCCGAGCGGATGGCTCCCGGGGTCCCGGGGGCCGGGCCTCAGATCGCCGGGCGAGCGGGGGTGGGCGGGTGGGGGCAGTGGGCCCGGCCGGGCCAAGCCCCCGGGGGCAATGTGAGACGCCGATCCGCTGGCCCCTCCGGCAGCCAATTTCACACACAAGTGGCGCGCGCATTCGCGTTCGTCCGCCGCGGGCTGCCTGCCAACGGCCGGCCCCGGCGCCACTGCCGACGGAGGGGAAACGTGATACGGCAGCTCAGCCTGACCTGTTCTGAGCCGGCGCCGGAGTGCGGCATCCTAGGGGAATTGGCGTCTGCCCGCCAAATACGCCCCCCCCCCCCCGCCCCTTCCCCGCTGCCAGTGTGTGTGTGTGTGTGTATGTGTACAAGACACGCATGTGCGGCGTGTGTTGTGTATCTCTGTGATGGGGCCGGGGCCTCAACACGCCCGACCCTGGAGGCGCAGCGTCAAAAAATGGCCCCCACCGCGGCTCGGACATGCCGGTGTGCGTCGCCGCTCCGCGCCCCCTCGCGCCCGGCCCATTCGGCAAATGAGCGCACATTTGGCGCGAGCCAGCTCCCTTTGGCCATCACTTCCCCGCGCCGGCGGCCGGCTTTCATGCCTGCACAGCCAGATTGCCCCCCCCCCCCCCCCCCCTGCTCGCGTCCGAAGGTGACTAGCTGGGCGGGTGCCCTCCTTCGCGCCGCCTTGATCTCGGGCATTTTTCGCCGGCCCTACACTCGCCCCCGCCATTCGGACCCGGTATTCTTCTTCTTCTCCTCCTCCTCCCCCTCCCCCTCGCGCTGCCCCGGCTCCCCTCCACATACACCTCCCCGCCGCCATCCTTCTCGCGCTCGACCAGCTTTCGCTCCCTTCGAGTGTGTGAGAGAGACCCCTCCCCCTGATCCCGGCGCCCAGCGGCCAGCCGCAGAGCAGGTAGCTCCTGCTTCCCCCCCCCTCCT